AGGGAAGGGAATATTTGGCCGAGGCTGACTAGACACAAGGAATTTGTCCTCTCCAGGGCAGAGGCTCTGGTAGGAAGCAACAGAGTAATCATCATCATCATCATAAAATGCCATTAGTAGTAGAGAAAGTGAGAAGGGTAATAGCAGCAGAGCCCTAATCCGTGGGTCAATGGGAAGGCTGGCCTTTGTGCGGCTACAGGCCCTTCCTTCCCACGTGGCGCATTTCCAGTTGCTTTCTTCTCTCTCTCTCTCTCTCTAGGAAACAGCAGTGAAAGCATTGACTCTATCAGAGACTACGAAGAGGAATTTTTCCAAAACTCCAAACTGCTGAAGTAAGCTAATACTTGGCTTTGTCTAAAGCTGCTTACTCCGGCCTGTTCCTCTCGTTGTTATTCCTTCACAGCCTGTTGTTGAGGTTGTGAAGCATCTCGGTTGGCTGGGCAGTAGCGGTGGGAGGAGGGCAGCCCACAGCCTTTAGACCAGTGTATCTCAACCTTGGCCACTTGAAGATGTCCGGACTTCAACTCCCAGAATTCCCCAGCCAGCATCCGCCGTGAGGCCGTGTTGCTGAGCCATGCGCCCGTTGCCTTGTGCGTTTCCCCAGGAATTCCATGCTGAAGCCCCACCAGGTGACCACGCGGAACCTCAGCCTGGCCGTCTCCGACTGTTTCTGGAAAATGGTGCGTGAGTCTGTGGAGCAGCAGGCAGATGCTTTCAAAGGTGAGCCTGGGGCAGCTTGTCCAGTGGGGAGCCTGGGGCAGAGAGGAGGGGTCTGTTGGCAAGGCTGGGCTCCGGGGCCTCTGGGGGCAGAAAAGGGGCACTAGACACACCTCGGGAGGTCTTGGGCAAAGCTTTGGGGGGGGGACAGGATCCGCACTCGGCCGGGCTGAGCTCCTTTGGGGCTCCCTCACGGCTGCACTGGGGCTGGGGAAGCACCTCAGACCCAGAGGGTGAGCAGAGAAGGGAGTGAGCCCCCAGACCAAGCGCTCTCGAGACCCAAGGCAGGGGGTGCCTTGCAGGGCAGTTCTGCCCTCTCTCTGGGGCACCTGGAGGTTTGGGGCATCCCTGGGGCAGGGGGGGGGGGTTCCAGAGGATTGGGAGGGCAAAAATATTGGCTCGGGGGGAAGGAGGGAGATCTTTCGCAGGCAGGTGGGGCAGGAAAAGGGGAATCCTTGGATGCCAGGTTGACCCAGGCGGTGGGAGAGCAGGTGTGGACCCCCCTCTCAGCTGCCCAAGAGAGGCTCTCCGGCCACAGAGGGGTCAGCTTCGCGGCTGTCGGACTGTGGCTAGGCCAGGAGGGGTTGCTCACCATTCAGATGGCCCGGGGAGGGCCCGAGCCTTGGGAGGTTTTGGGGGTGTGGAAGGGGCCCACCCTGGAGGTGTGGATCTGGCTGAATCCCCTCTTCTTTCCCAGCAACCCGTTTTAATTTGGAGACCGAGTGGAAGAACAACTATCCCCGCTTGCGAGAGCTGGACCGGGTGAGTTCCTGTCTGCCTCGGGGCCTTCGGAACCTCTTCTGGGCCTCGGGACCACCTTCAGCGGCCACAGCATCCGTCCACCTGGAGGCCTCTCGGTGGCTTCCCTATGGAGCAGGAGTGGCCGACCTTGGCCCCTTTAAGACCTGTGGACTTCAACGCCCAGAATTCCCCAGGCAGCTGAAGTCCACTGCTCTTAAAGTGGCCGAGAAACACATGGCTGGGGAATTCTGGGATTTGAAGTCCAGAGGCCTGAAATTGGTTGGATACCCCTGCTGTAGAACTTCCACAATGACGGGTAGTCCTTGCCTTACGCCCAGTTGCTTAACGATTGTTTGAAGTTTTGATGGAGCTGCCCAGAGCTGCTTGTGGCATCTGCACTGTGGCTTATTTAAGGAGGCACAGCGGCACAGTGGTTAGAGGGCTGACTCTATAAACTCTTTAGAGAGGCATGTCAAGCCCTATAGAGGCCTTAAGTTCTGTTGCTGTCTGGTCTTCCAGAACAGTGTTTCTCAACCTTGGCCACTTGAAGATGTCCGGACTTCAACTCCCAGAATTCCCCCACCCCGCACCGCTTGCTGGGGGGTGTTTTGGGTTTGGGGGGCGGCATCTTTCATTGGGCAGGCGTGG